CAGAACCTTGTGCCTTTACTCAGACCTCGTACAATGCCTTTTCCCTACTGTTTGTTAGTCTTCCAACACTCCTCTGCTTATCTGGTGCTGCCAGGCCTTGGAGATCATTCACGCTAGCAGATTGTGCTGCACTAATACCTTGGTTGGCCCCCAGCAAATGCAACTTCTCCGTTTACAGGCAATCTACTAGGAGCCAAACCTGCCATACGGTCCTTAAATCCTAGACCATCCCTCTTCTCTGCAATAGGTGCGCCACGCAGCAACAAATCAGCCAGGCCAGCAAACATGAAATCAAATGATTCTGCGCTAGCATCGCCCATACAAACCACATTCATAGCTCTGAAGTACAACTTCGAATGCCTGCACCTGAACAACAAGTTGATCGAATTGTCCTTTTGGTACTGAACAAGGTGGCCCATAAGTCTGTCCGTCGCGTCCTTGGTCCACCGTTTCACTATGTGTTTTGCCGGAATCTCCATGACCTGTTCCAGCACCAATATGATAAATTTACCATGTACTGATTAATTTTCAAATGGAATCATAATTTAAGAAAAAGTCAAATGGCATTTTACCCTCATCGTCATGATGCAGAGGCCGGGGGCATGCCTCCATTTCCAAAAAAATAACCCTCAGAATATGACTGCACAACATTCCAGTGTGCTCGAACTGACCACACTCGCAAGTATACTCTGTCTGATCATCGCTTACGGTGAGCTCATAGACAACCCTGCTCTTTATCTTTGCTGCATTATCGTGTGTTGTCACATACCTCCTCATCCACTCTACCTCAGTGACATTATAGGCTGTGCCTTCAATTAGTAGACGGCGAAATTCTTCAAACACAGCCCTTGTGTAAATATTACTTGCATGCCTCTCTATTGCCAAATTAGATCTCCTAACAGCCCCTGGCATAAAAATCAGAAAGTTAGAGTTATATGTGGATCATCTAACAAAGCTGGCGGCTGTGCACATAAGGGTAATGCGTTGAAGCTGTAATGGGTGTAAATGAAATACTGAAGTGCTTCTGACTTATAATCATAATTCTCTTCTCCTCGTAGCTTTCTTCATGCTCCCGGTCAAACTGCAACCTCATGTACTGCCTAAAAGACACATGCAATGACAAAGTCAGTCAAATAAGTGGGGCACATTTTGTGTTGCTTTCAGAAATTAATTTCATAATTATGTAGCAAGCATTTGGAAAAACACCACAAACCTGTTAGGATTGTCTTAGGGGGTGGGCCTCCCATCATACGCAAAAACTCAGCGAAAACCCATTTAAAGCTTTCTATTTGCTCATCATGCATCAAGACACCAGCAAGGATAATGCTTTGGAAATGATTGTTACCTCCCACGAATAGCCCAAATGGCATATCGTATAGGTTAGTCCTGTATGTCATGTCGAATGTGACAACATCTCCAGATAACTTGTATTGCATTCGGCTGCTACCGTTAGACCACATTAGGTTCTTCACCTTGCTTGAACTGCCAGCCAACACCCTGTAGGTAAAGTCAGGGTCACCGGCAAGAATGTCAGCAAACACCTCTAGGGTCTTCCTCACGTCATCCTTTTGCTCACGGCTTATCTTTCCACAAATGTTCCGAAGAGTCCTCTTCTTGAAAGGCACCCTCTCAATTGATCCGAAGAAACTGCCAATTATACAGTAAACCTTCCCAAGGTTCACATTGTTTTCCCACAACTGCTTTATCAACTCTTTGCGGTAGACGTTGATGTGTTTGTGCGATGGCCACTGCACCTTCTCAGTGATCTACCAGCTGTTGTCTGACGCTTGCAGCAACCTAATCAACGTCGGCCACTCACGCCTGCATGATCTACTATTTTCTACCTCTGGTTTCCCCTGCGTGCGCATCATCAAACCAAAGATCAGTACCGCCACACAAGGACTGGACAACAAATTCAGCAATAACATTCTCCCTGAATATCTAGTCAGTTTACCAGAGGTCGGCACTCACCGAGCAACCACAGACTATCTCCTCCATGCATTTAGATCTCTCGGCATTGAGTCTGCTCTTACCATATCTAGTACTGAATCGGATCTCCCAAGAATACAAATTGTAGAAGTCGTATGCCTCACCAAGTGAATCGAAAGTCAACCCAAGTGTTGGCCATACAACACCTTTCGTGGGTTCTTCTGCATACTTCCTGATCGACTACTCCAAAGCACTCATCCTGGACAGACACGGTGTGCGGTCTGGAGGTGCACTACCCAGCCTTAATCTTAAAATCCCCATCACATATGTATTCAGTATGCTGTGCACAAATAAAGCAAATATCAAAAGTGTACTGACTGCCCTTCTGATAGCACTAGCAGTTCACACTAAAAGGCGGTTGCTCAATTTACTAATTCTAACAGCTAGCACGGACATTTTCCACGTAGCAAATTACATAGTGCACTAAATCAGTACATTAGAATGTAGCAAGGTACAGTTAGGTAGGAAGGGAGGCGTTAGGTTCAGACCTTTTTGTCCATCCAGGGGCTTCTGGATTAACTCTGTCAGTAGACTCTACCGACTTAGTCGGAAATGCATCAGCTCTCGCTGGTCTCTAACTTTGTCCATGGACATGGTCATCGCCACCAACCCGTTGACCAAAATCAAAACCAGCATTTGAGCTCACATACTCGGCTCGGGTGCCCTCGCATGACTGCAACAACACCAGAGGCACCGGATCTGGATGCTCAAGGCTGTCGGCGAACTCCTCGCGCAGCGGAAACCTGGAATCTCATAGCAATGGCCGCCCACCATGTCCCGTTGTTAGCGTTCTGCTTATGAATTTGGCTGCAATTAAATGAAAAATCCCCAAATTTCCAGATCTGTAAGCACTAACCTGTCGACTGCGGCCTGAAGGAACTCCATGCCCGCATCCTCCATTATTTTTGCAGACGCAAAAAGGTCAGGAAGCGCCGCCGCCACGACCTGCTCAGCTTTACACGCACCGGCGGTAGTGTTCTTTTGCGGGGGAGAGAAAGAGGCACGGGCACCAAATCGCCTCTCTCATTCAAATGC